TATATATATATATATATATATATATATATATATATAGTCTCTATGGGAGCTCTGGTAGCATAGTGCCTAAGGCACTGGACTGCTAACCAGGAGGCTCGCAGTTCAAACTCACCAGCCACTCCTCAGAAGGAAGATTGGGCAATCTACTTCCATAGTGATACTGCCTTGGAAACCCAAGGAGGGGTTGCTGTGAATCGGGTCCGACTTGACGGCACATAACAACAACATCTTGTCTGTATATATAAATTTATCTCTCTATATAGATATAGATATACATAGATATAAAGTGGTCTAGTTTACATTCAGGTTCACTCTTTGTGTTTTACAGTCCTATGGGCTTTGACAAATGCATAATGCCATATGTCCACCATTACAGTATCATACAGAATAATTGCCCTAAATATGCCCTGTGCTCGACCTATTCATAACCACACCACCTGTGTCCCCCAAGTCCTTGGCAACAACTGTTCTTTTTACAACCTCTGTACTTTTGCCTTTTCAAGAATGTCATATACTTGGAATGTATGTAGCTTTTTCACACTGACTTAGTTGTTGTTGGGTGCTATTGAGTTAGTTTTCACTCATAGCAACCCTATGTACAAATAGAATTAAACACTCCCCAGTTCTGCACTATCCTAACAATTGTTGCTATGTTTCAGCCCATTGTTGCAGCCACTGTGTCGCTCTCTCTCTTTTTTTTTAAATTATTGTTTTATTGTGATTTGGGTGAAGATTTACAAAGCAAATTTACTTTCCATACAGCAGTTCACATATACTTTGTCTCAGGTCATTGACCACAGTTTACCACAATGCAACAGCTCCTCTCCCCTCCCACTTCCTTCACATAATTACCTCTTCCCAGTGTCCATCCCTCCATACCCTCCTGCCCCCTGAGCTGTCTCCCTGTGCATAAGCAGCCCATCTTTCTCCCATGCTTGTTCTCTCCAAGGAGTGTATCTACTTGAGGTAAATGTTCAACTCATATGCCTGTATTTTGTTTGGCTGGAAAACACAGGTGTGGGTTCAATACCAGATCTGAAGGGCAGCTAGGGGCCCTAGTCTCAGGGATTCCACCAGGCTCTATTGGACCAGCAAACCTGCCCCCCACTTTTTTTTTTCCTCCAAATGATTTTGAGTTTTGTTCTATATTGTTCTCCCTCTCTATCAAGGGTCTTCTACATAGATCCCCTTCCAAATGGATGACAGTGGTAGCCAGGCACCATCAAGTTCTTCTGGTCTCATAGTTGTATACACTGCAGATTGGATGGTGTACCAGTTGCTAGGACTAATAGTTTGCATGAATTTTGGTTTTCTTCATTCTTCTTT